GATCTAGGTGAATACATGCATAGAGTAAGGAACGATTTCTATATTGACACTGCGACCCACTACTCACAGAGATAGGTATCATGTGCAACATTTGTATGTCTGTTTATTCATTATTTTCATAAATATGTGCTTTTTATACTTAAAACCACCCTATTCACTTGATTGACGCGTTAAAGGTCATTTGTGCGCTGCTTCATTTTGGTGCTTAAAGTTTCATTTCACCGGGAACTATTTGACATTACAAGTGTCTTACAAGTGATCAGGTGTAGTTTCAAAGCTTCTAATAAAGAAGAAAGTCCTAAATCATAAAACTGCTGCCAAAGGCGTATATTCGCATGTTTGAATTTTGGAAGCCCGCTAAAATATTTACATTATTTTCACTAATGTATTCTACCTAAGATAGTAAATGCGAAAAAGTGAACATTTAATGCGAAAGGTTTGTGGGAAAATGGTCAGTACAAAATGAAACTTCTTATTATACAAAACCAGTTGAAATTATAGTCATAAGGAAGCTGTGGTCGATGTTAACAGTCAACTTTACTCAGAATATGCCAGGGATCAGTAAGTTGCTCTAGATAATTTTTAAACGGGTCAGACGAATATCACCTCCATTGTTAACTGTCCTCTTACCTACTTTCTTCACTAAAGCCCTATGAGAGCCAATAAATAACAGTATACAATCATTTGCAAAATACGTGTAACTGGCAAACATATCTCAAGCTTTTCTAACATCCTTCAGCGAAGAAAGAAAGTGTCTGACCACCACAGTAAAAACTCACAGTTTTATTTTATGATGCTTCAGCAAATCCGTCGCTGGCTGAGAGGAAATTTAAAATCTAAATAAATATAAAATTTAGTTACACCTGTGAATGTTTTTAGCTCCTCTAGAGATCTCAAAGCAGAATGTTGCTCTATTACTTAGTCTCGCCTGAAACCTCCTCAGCATTACCTGTGCTCACTTTACAGTTTAAAATCTGTTTTACGTTCAAGTCTTACATTTTCGCAGATTTACAGTCACACTGTAACCATACGGTTGTTAAGAAAGTATTTGTAAATATTTTCCCTGCTATGCTTCTTATGTTTCCCAACATTAAATAAAATATGGAAGAATTAATATGGAGAACATGGTCTATAGACCTTTGGAGAATGCAGGCATCCATCACATGCAAAGGCGTGGTAGTTGCGGGTTTCGAATTATAATCCATTTTTCTGATAGACTTCTAGAAAATATCTACCACTGACAATGAAAGTAACAAGCTGTGTGTGTACGAGATAATGCATCTTACACCTAACATATGTTTATTCCGTACCCTGTATCACAAGTATTGAAGTGTTTCCCCATATGTCTGTTGGGATAACTTTGTTTGTGTGGATTTCGTAGGCTTTGCTATCAGTGTACCATTCATCAATGTACTAGCTGGTGTAGACACAAGTAATTTAATAGCCTTCATCTATTTTCAAGAGTTAGTTTGCAAGGATCAAATTTGTTTTTACGAGTGGTCGCGCTAAATCATGAATTGGTAGAAGTTAGAATTCATGGGCCATTGAATGGAGTCCCAGTGGCTGAATGGTATACGAGCTAGCTGGACTTGTAACCGGAAGGTTCTGGGTTCGAACCTTGGCGGTGAGTGTGTACTGCTGATGATTTCAAGTCTAGGATGACACAGTTGTCCATTACTCCTGGCTGGTTTTCAGTGGTTCCCTAAATGATATCATTCCGTGGTCAAATTCGTAAAAGCCTCCATCTATGCCAATTGCCTGGAAATAGGGAAGTCACAGCGATAAAGAAATAATTCACGATGTCCACAATCCATCAATGACTTCTAGTATTGTCTGCGATATCATTTATGACGGCTCAAACGGATACTTAATGTGACGTTGCGTTGTTTATCTACTACTAATTTTAACTGAACTTAAGTGATTGTAGTGAGTTCTTCCGAAGCCTGTAGTCGTGTGGTTAGACGAGGTTTCTGTCTTTAGCTTGAGGCTGCTTATACAAATAACTCCACTGAGGAAATATTTAGAGACTGCTTGCGAGTGGACTTATCCACCTTGTAAAAAGAAGACTTTATCAACAGCTCTTATCGTTTCCCATAAGCCATGGTTGCTTCGTCAGCTGGTTAGCAGTATAAATGTGTTGTATGTTTAGGACATTGTCGCCTAAGGAAATCATGAGTCATGTCATTGACAAAGGGTTTGTTTATTTATTTGAAAATCCGTAGTTTAAGACTGCACCTTCTTCCAAATTCAGTTGTTTGCGTGAGTAGCGATGTGTCGTTTCTTTTTTTAATGGAGATGCACTCTTCTCTAATAATGAACCGTTTGTGCGGGCACCTTTATTAGTGGAAACCGAAAACTTTCAAGCGTCTGAAACTCCGAATCGTTGGCTTTCTTTCAACCACTGATCTCGAGCTAAGGGGTCTATGAAAGCCGTTCCACTTCTCGACTAACAACTACCGGATATCGAATATTGTCAACAACATGGCAAACAATCAAATTCTACCTAACTATGTTATCTGTCTATTCAGTATGCGTTACGACCTAAGCTCAAAGACAGAAGTGCACTTTCACTTTTTTCTATTTTTCAGAGATAGAGTGGGATGGGTTGGAGTTAGGTTAGGGATAGATAAGGAACAGGCTAAGGTTGGTTATGAAAAAGGGTTAGAGTTATCGCTGAGTGAGGGGAAATATTTTCTTTTTGGCTGAACCGCTCCTCCCAAGGTCGTTGGTGCATTCATGGCAGTTGGTGTCTACTCCTAAAAGTTTCCCTTTGTAATCTTTCGTCACTAGTAGCATTATAGCTGAAAACACTAGAATGTTTTAAGAGGTTCATACCTTTGGATGTGCTGTGATGCTAAAAGCATTCTGTTTTATTTCTTCCCATGAATTTATATGTTTTTTTCAGTCTACTGAGTTCATACTTTGATGTGAGTTTTTGTAACGCTGTCTATCCCGATCGTCTCATTAACGCTTAAGCTGGAAGCTGTAGTTATGGAATCACTAGATGTATTCGCTCTGTCTACGCGTGTGTTTGTTTTTTAAACTGCGAACAAGTAAGATTCATACAGGCTGCGTTTACTTAAATAAAACTATTAGCATCAATAATAAATAATTGAGTCTGTAAGTAGCTGAAATGGAATTTCATGATGTACTCGTTTTAGTTTGTCCCCTCATGACAAACGATTGAATTAATCAAGGGAAACTGACCTTCGTTTACCTGATCTCCTATGATATTAATGCGATACATTGATTTCTAGTAAAACCCAAGTTAATTCTCACTTTACGATCATTCGGCTGACAGGATTCTAGGGATAGGATCACCATGTATCAATACCTCGAGTAGTTTAGTACATTCATTGTGGCGGCCAACACTTGTCTTCATTCAGCGACTTTAGCAACAAAAAGCATACTACTTGAAAGTACTGCTGACATGAGACAAAATTCTCATTGGTTGAACCGGCTAAGGCAGGTGAAATTTAAATTCACCAAAGGAAGTAAGACGAAATTTACAATATAAAGTGATGTCATCATTCTATTTCACTGGTCCTCATCAGATACACAGACTAACTGAAATTTCAGTGATTATAAAAACTGACAGCAACACACTCCATTGTTAGAATGGTAGTGGAGAAAACACTATGGAATTGACACCTCCGAAATATTAACAGCAGTACAATTACAAGTTACCGTCAACTTATATTCTTTCAAAAGAGACAATGAAGACGACGGGGGAGAATAAGATAGGGAACAGAAAAATCTAATCAACAGTGTTAGTCAGCAAGTCCATGTGTCAACTCGAGAAGGTTATAGTTCACAAAATTGAGAACTCGCACAGTGGGTTGAAATCACTAATATGGCTGACTATTCAGTGTAATCATGATCAAAATGCAGTTAATTCAGCTCCTCCTTTGAAAGCGAGATAAATGCAAACTTTCTTCTTTTCAACAATTGGATGTTTCGTTTTCTCGCCTTCTTTGCATATCCCCAAAAGATTCATACCTAAAGAGATTCAGATATTCTCAAAGTTCAATTACCAGACACTTTGTAGATACCTCCGGGTTTTTTGTCGAGATTTAAAGATCATTCGAAACATTAAGCATACAAAGGACAACAAATGTACTACGATTTGCTGAAGCAGTTGTGATCAAACCTAATCTATCAATCAATCTTTCACTTCAATGGTAACTGCATTTTGATCATGATTACACTGAATAGTCAGCCATATTAGTGATTTCAACCCACTGTGCGAGTTCTCAATTTTGTGAACTATAACCTTCTCGAGTTGACACATGGACTTGCTGACTAACACTGTTGATTAGATTTTTCTGTTCCCTATCTTATTCTCCCCCGTCGTCTTCATTGTCTCTTTTGAAAGAATATAAGTTGACGGTAACTTGTAATTGTACCGCTGTTAATATTTCGGAGGTGTCAATTCCATAGTGTTTTCTCCACTACCATTCTAACAATGGAGTGTGTTGCTGTCAGTTTTTATAATCACTGAAATTTCAGTTAGTCTGTGTATCTGATGAGGACCAGTGAAATAGAATGATGACATCATTTTCTACTTCATATCTAACCTTTCTTCCTTATCGAAATTTTTCAGGGGAACTATGCGTAGTTGGGTAATAACTGTGTTTTCTGAAATATTTGCTTTTTATCAGCATTTTGATGTCAATCTAACGGTCATATGAGTCGATCTACTCGTCGAGTAATAAGGGATAGTTTCTGTTCATTTGTAAACTATGAATCTCATGTACCAGTCAATCTATCTTTGAGGTGAAACAAAAACAACACACACACACAAACACATGATACTAAAGAAATTCTTGAAAATAACACAGAAGGTTTACATTTGTTCTAATTCATGAAAGAAACAATACATTAGTTGACTGATACATGAACGGAAAGCATACACTTATATAACATCGGTTATTTCATATTCACCAAAATAAGTTATAACAAAAAAGAATTTGTTCATTTAAACCACAGTTATCAATAATGGTGATAAATCAATACTGACAAGTTATATAAATTCACTCTTTTAAATTAAACGAATTTGATAGAGTGTAACCAATAGTGATAATAATACTTTGTCGCTAAGGAAAATATAGGATTTTCTAAATTGAACATTGAATTTGCATAAATAACTCTCTTGATGGGTTAATAATAGAAGTTGGATAGATAATATTTGTAAGGCAAAGTAAATTTCAAATCAGAAACAAATAATTTGTAAAAATCTGTTTGAATTTTAACTCATTAAGAATTTACAAGGTCGAAGGAAGTATTTTTCCGCTTTGTTTGAATTGTATGTATGTATATATATATAAGCCACGATTTTGAACGTTGAGTTCTGATATATATTTTGTTTTTTATTTAACACAGAGAAACCTCGTTTGCATACAGCTTTAAAACTGATCCAATCCAGTTTAGACTTTCTTTAGTTGTTGAAGATGGCAATAATAAATGTGATACCAAGAAATATTCATTATGCCATTTTAAGTTGACAAGTACAGGTAATGCAGATATCTAGAAGGATTCAAATTCATTTATAACTGATTAATATCTGATAATCAAGAGTATAAAATAACGTATAGACAAAATTCATTCAGTACAGTATAAAAGTCCTACTTACTTACTACGTCTGGTAACTCATGACAACACAGTTAAACCAGACTATATTCTCTCTACGTCGGTGGCACAGTGGTAGAATGCTAACCAACCACGGCAACCGACGCGCTCCTTTACCTCGTCAAGCCAGCAATAAAACTGGTAAAGAGAGAAGGTTGGGAATGAGGCTAGCAAACCCATCCCGTAAAAATAAAATGTCACTGCTACTGAAACTTCAAGCCTCTAACTTGAAGCCCTATGTTCCACTAGGAACGTGAAGGAATAAAAAAAACAACAGGATGGGATAAGATAATAGTCTTAAAATCCACTATAACGGAGTGGTGGGAAAGACTCATAACTTAAGCTTTATTCATCGAATCAAATGAGAACACCTGCAACAGAAATGATTCAGCATTTGCTTCAAACATCTGGAAAGTTCTACTGACCCTTCCAACAAATGGGAAGAAAGAAAAATAACTCATACAAGTCTCAAAGTTTACAGTTACACTTGATATAATTAAGAACAATAAATTTTGTCCAAAATATCATCTAGTATATAATAGTGTTTCACTGAGTGATGTAGAGGATGGTGGACAGCTGTTTCGTCTTAATTTGCTATTCTTCTTTCAGTACTCACCCACCACTGGAGTTTGACCCAAGGACCTCCCGATTACAAGGTGAGCTCGTAGACCATCCAGCCACTAATATCAGCTGCAATGTCCTATGAAGTCTGGCTCCAGTTAAGTCGTGATATATGTGAAGAAACCCCAAACAGGGTTCATCAAGTCAGGTAAGAGAAGAGTTACTCATCTGTGACACCGGCTGGCCGTCGGTTTATACATATCACGAAGTGGCAGAAATCGGAATTTATTGGCCATTGTAATTGGTCTCCATGGTTGATAGGCCTGATCGACCTTGCCTAGTGACTGGAAGATCTTAGATTTGAACTCTGGTTGGTTCGTGCTACTAAAGAGTCGTGAATTAGGACGAAATAACTATCCAGTAGTTTCAGGTAAAGAGAGGAATGTAAATGAACAGTATACAGAAATATATACGATAATCAAACACTTACAATCTCTAGAAACATAAAAAGTCAAAATATGTCTGCAATACTGAGTGGGCAATACCGTTTAAAGTGGATTCAGTTATGGGAAAGGTGAAAACCTAAACAGAACAGAAAAGGAAATCTCTATTCATAAAAATAACGCAGTCAGACAAACCTTCTGAGGAATTAGCCACCCCTCGGCTGAAATTTGTCATAGTTTTTCGAAGACTGTTGATAAGAAGGGATGAAATTCAATTTTTAACTTTACAAGGGATAAGAAAATTGACAGTAGCATCAACGATTTGCAATATCATGAATGCGCTACCCCTAAAGTATCCGGAACCAGAGAGAAAAGGCTATTCAGTGCCTGTTGGTTTACATCGGTTCCCAGACTGACTTCATCCTATATGAATTAATATTCCTAGTCGAGTAGACAGGTGGGTCGCCATTTTGAAATGTCAGAGCATGATGAACGAACGCATCGATTGACCTTTCCTTCTTACTCAACACCTTATACAGAACCATCTAACATGAGAAATTGAATTCAAATATTTAATTCAATTTAGATTTTCCCGTCAATTGATTGAACAGGTTGACATGTCGGTTCCTTGTGCATATGCTTCGACGATGTCTGGTCATGTAACTTGAAGTCAGTTGGTAGATGGTGACTAGAAGTAGAATCCAGGATGAGACCTAGCTCTTCAGTTCACTCCATTGACAGGGAAATCTAAATTGAATTAAATAACTGATAAGATCCGTTGCGCAAGAGGTGGCTCTCGTGGCCAAAGTGGTCTAGTGGACAAAGCTTCAGCATTTGAAATTATTGGCACTGGGTTCGAGTATCGGTGGGGACACCATCACTTACTGGGGCATGCTGGTACATCCGACTAACGAGACCCAAATAGGACGAAATGCACCTCCTGGCTAAATTCCACCGCTAGTCAACATCCACCAAGTGAATTCAAACATCTTTCTTCAAAAACAATTAGTTTTTCCATATTTTTCACTTCTGAAGGTCACGTCTCAGGACAGAATGAAACGTCGCATAGTACGCAAGTCCACTGACGGATTGACAGAAATCATACCTACACCATAAGGAATGCAGGTTAGTAAATGCCACATTAGCCTTTTGGGTTAGTGCGTAGATTTCAACACCAATCAGTTTATTAGAAGACTCATACAACCTTCCAAATGAATAAATTGGTCAGCACACTCAGCCATTTCACTTCATATGATTAAAAATAATATCAGTAGATGCAGACCAGTCTTTCATTTGTCAGGCTTTCTGTGGAATGCCAGGCTGGCTTTATAGGCTTAGATAATAAGTGCGTAAACCTGTTTAACACCACGTTCTTTATTATCTAATAAATGATTCATTTAAGCCTTCAATCAATAATAATACATGGATTAAAATTTCTAGAAATAAATGAAGGAAAGACTTAAAATAAAAACACAAATCAAAGAAAATTTTAATTTATTGAAGATGCCCTTAGAAAAATGTAAAAGACTGGCTAATGGATAAAGAATATTCAGATTTTCGCTGACCTCCTCGTCATTAGGCTCTAAGTTTATAAGACAGTGATAACTAGAGAAACAACAAATTCCCTTGTGAGAAAGAATTCCAGAGTGAAGCTGCCTTTTTAGACGTTCTATTGACAAGAAGACTAGAAGGTAGCAGATAAAGGAATTTGCATAAGATTAGTACTTGGAGTGGTCATTATACACACATTTTCACAGCTTTCTTCCTCTTCAGTATAAAAGAAATTTAATAAAGACCCTCAGCCATAGGGTCAGTGTTCAGAAGATGCGATTGAAGATGACACATTAATTCAAAACAGCTACCCTTAAAAGTTCATCATTAAACACATGGTCAGTGAAAGTCGAAGAGAATTCTCCTGTACCTATTAACAAGAAGACTATTCCTATGTTCACGACTACAATTCAAAGGTGATAGATATACCATGTAAAATGATAACCGACCACAAGTTGAGCTGCCACTAACCTGCAGCATATATTCTCCACACAACCGGTTGTGATTCCTCAACTGAAAGATGAGGTACACAGGCTAACCACCTCCAACTGTATCTATCATTTCACCTGCTCCTGTGGAACCAGTTATATTGGCAGTTAGTTTTCTCAGAAACCCAATTATTCGTGCTCGGGATCACCTATCAGTATGGTTAAATAAAGGTGACTGTTCTATATTGAACCACCTCCTGCAAACAGTCCATAAAGCTAATGCTGAAGAAGTTTTCTCTATCCTCTATTGAGTATCGAATAAATTATCAAAGGCCTATGGATATCGAACTCTCCAAACACCCGAGGCCATTGCAACTCGCCTTAATCAACCGGAGCTCTACTTACAGAAGAATCAGTTCCAGCCAGCCACTACTGCTACCCTGCTCTTAGTGTGGAATCGATAAATTCATAAATTCCGTGTTATTGCCTCCTTTAATTAATCTGATATTCAGTTTAATGTCGCGTTAATGCATACTATCTCTCTCTCTCTCTTACTGATACTTTTGAAATGTAATCACCTATCGATTCTAACTATTGAATCAATGTAATTTAAAACAGCATTAATCTTATTAATAACAATAATTCTTTAATTATTACTATCGATACTCAAGATCAAATGGTCAGCAAAGATCGGCAACATGGATCTCTGGCGATGAGCGAACTAACCCACCAGGAACTGATTGTGTAACAAATATGCAGGAAGAAATGCAGATGGATTGGCTGGCCATATTCTGAGAAAACAAACCATCAAGTGACATCAAACGCCAGGCCATCTCTCGAAAGGAACCCGAACGGGAAACAGCTAGTTGGTTGTCATTGCGAGGATGACATGGAGTAGTTCATGTGACAGGGAGATGAAAGCATGTAGAAAGACGTGGAGCCAGGTGATAGAAACGTTGGCGCAGAACCGAACTCAATGGAGACGTGTGGCTGAAGCTCTACGTTCCTCTAGGAACTAAATGAAACAATAATAATATAATATAAGACAGATTCAGCGAAGAAAATTTTCTTTATCGACGAAATCATCTTCAGAGGCTGTACAGTCGTATTTTTACTTACAAAAATATATAGTGGTCTACCATTGAGTAATAGGGGGTGACATAATTGATATAATTACTCAGAAGTGGCTTTAGAAGTGAAAATGAAAAGTTGTAAATTACGTGGTACTCAACGGCCCAAAGTTAGAAATTTGATAAGGTTAAAATCACTCTTGAGTGAGAATAAAGGTGGTACTTGAGTGTCAATTTAAAAGTGTGAAGAGGGTATGAAATGTACAGAAGGAGCATATGAGAGTGATAATACTGAATTAATTATTAAAGCAAAAGCAAACTTAAAGTGAAATTGAAAATTAAAAACAAAAGAAAAAATCAAAATTCTTTTACAGGGAACGATTAGTGAAGAGGTTAAGACCAAGGTAGAATAAGAGACTGGACAAACGTTTTCTGTATACAGAGTTCAAGGTTGTATTGATGAATTGCCAGCGCCTCCACCATACACAAAAGCCTAAACCTGACGCCCTTTGTACCATTTGGCTTCACTTTGTAGATGATCTTCTCGAGCATTTGGAGAATTCAGGTCACGTAGCTCCACCAGAGTCGTCTTTCAAGATCATCTACAAAGTGAAGCCAAATGGCACAAAGGGCGTCAGGTTTAGGCTTTTGTGTATGGCGGAGGCGCTGGCAATTCATCAATACAACCTTGAACTCTGTATACAGAAAACGTTTGTCCAGTCTCTTATTCTACCTTGGTCTTAACCTCTTCACTAATCGTTCCCTGTAAAAGAATTTTGATTTTTTCTTTTGTTTTTAATTTTCAATTTCACTTTAAGTTTGCTTTTGCTTTAATAATTAATTCAGTATTATCACTCTCATATGCTCCTTCTGTACATTTCATACCCTCTTCACACTTTTAAATTGACACTCAAGTACCACCTTTATTCTCACTCAAGAGTGATTTTAACCTTATCAAATTTCTAACTTTGGGCCGTTGAGTACCACGTAATTTACAACTTTTCATTTTCACTTCTAAAGCCACTTCTGAGTAATTATATCAATTATGTCACCCCCTATTACTCAATGGTAGACCACTATATATTTTTGTAAGTAAAAATACGACTGTACAGCCTCTGAAGATGATTTCGTCGATAAAGAAAATTTTCTTCGCTGAATCTGTCTTTTATTTTCTTAATAATATAATATAATATTACTATCATGTAAATAGATGCAGAACCTGTTGACGAAGAAGACGTGATCGAAAATCTGAATATTCTTTGTTCATTAACCAGTCTTTTATTTCAACCAAAAGGAAACATCCTCGAAAAAAAACTTTTTAAAGACAAAAAACACAGTTTATGTTACCTTTACAATCTGTTTAAATGTTTCACCAGCTGGATGTTTCTCAAAACAGCTAAATAACCTTTGAGCATTTATTGATCCTTTATTCTTCGCAAATTGATTTCTATTGTTATTTTGTGTAGTACACTTGTAAAAGTTGTTTTCATTATCTAGCGAAGATTCATACTCTCCAGTATAAAATTCTGTACGTGAAGTTGTAGACGACTTGCGTGAGCGATCGTCATCCCGTTGTGTATGTCCATCCGGATGATGATAATACGGTTGTTGTTGGCGTTGTTGTTGAAGGTGATGATGTTTATTAGTTGCTTGAAATCTTGATGCCATATCTGACTTTGATTGTCTCACCTCTGATGATGATGTCAGTATATCATGTGGATTTCGCCTTTGAAGTGAGCTATGCGGAGGAGGCGGAGGTTGAGGAGGACGATGATGGTAAGATGACGAAGAGTGAGATTGTCTTTTCTGTTTTTCATATTGTTGAATGATATTCTTCATATAATAATTACTTGACTTTGTCATATTTGTCATATCTAATGGCCATATCAATAGATTATTTTCATAAAGTCTGCCTGTAAAACGTTTTGAGCATAGCACATTTGAAACGAAGTGCATAGCACCATCTGCTTGACTATCGTGTAGATAGATAAGTAATGGTCGAATTTGCTGTATCACATACAAAAAAGAGACCATTTAAAAATTTCACTGAAATGGTGAACAGTGAGAAATTTGGAACTAGTACTTTTGATAATAGTCAGACAATGACACTTCATTTTTTTTAGTTAAGTTTGTTGAGACAAGTTTAAGAAGACTCTCACGAGAGTGGTTATACAACACTAGTTCAATCCTCCGACAGGACATCTCTATTTTGTATCGTTGTGTGTAGTCCTCCTAAGCTGGTCGCATGAAAACCCATAAGCCTTGAATCCTCCTCACACTATCTCCTCTATGGCACATTAGGATCCAAGCCCAACTCATCGTTTCCCATTCGAGCAATGGCCTGGAGTGTGATTTCACTTGGTAGTCTTCTGAGCATGTTTCCGAGATCACTGAGTGACATCCAGTGGCTGAATGGCCTATAAGTTTGCCTTGTGACAGGAATGTCCAGGGTTCGAAACCCGTTGGGTGTGCACTGATGGGAGTCCCAAACTAAGACAAAACATCCATCCAGTATTCCTTGAAAACTGCATTGGAGGTTCAACGGCGGAATACTCGCCAACAACGGATGTGGTCTGGGATTCGATCGCCAGCCGACACACTCCTTAAGCTCACTAAGCCGGAAGTAAGGCTAGTAAACATGGTAAGTTGGGTGGGAAGCTAGCAATCTCATCCCGTAAAAAGAATTAAACACTACTGCTGCCAAAACCTCAAAGCTTAAGCTTGAAGCCACTGTTCTGCTTGGAAAGCGAAGGAATAAAATAACCGGTCCGAAGTCCGCGGAAAGAGGGAGCTTGGGCGTGAAGCTAAGGATTTTACTCTGGAAAATCAATCAGGTTGCTACAGAAACTTCAGAGAACAAGAAAATTCAAGTGAAAGCCGAATAAATTTAAGAATAACTAATCTAAATGAATTCTGTCTATTGTTTATGTCTTATATGCATTATGGCAGGACACTCATTACTTAGCGGTAGTTCCGAATATCAAGCCTTAATATCAGCTTTCTATAGAAACAAGTCACCTATTGTTTTATTTTATACATAGCACAAGACATGAATATCACTATTTCAATTTCCTTGTATAGAATCATGTGTGTATGTGAAAAAGTTTACCAGCCGGTGGTAAGCCCAGAATTTCAGTTGTCAGGTTAGTAACCTCATGCTTTCAAAAAGCAATACCATGTCACTCTGAAGGGAATGAAATATGCACTGGGTGGAGAACTCCCGCCCCCCGAAACAAGCTAGGTTAAGGAAAGGCGAACCATGTGCGGATCAAATAGAAACTCTGTGCATTATCACCGAAGAGAGCACAGAATGGGGAGGGGGTGGCGCAAATCTTTAACTCAACTTCAGCGACTTTGAAAAGGCTACAGCAGTATTGAGAGTGAAGTGATTTGAAAACTACTTCGACAAATTCTTACCAGCTTCATTCAATAGCAATTTGACAATGCAGCATGTCAGGTGATTAAAAGCGGAAAACTCAGCGATGCATCTGGATAGGAATAAGTCAGAATACTGCCTAATGTCGCCATAGGTATTCCTGATTTTAGTAGACCGCATCGTTCAGCAGTCCATGGAGAGCTAGGAGAGAGGAATATGTTGGACCGATAAAAGGACCCCGCAGGATTTTGGAGTTCACAGACGATTTATGTGTAACATTGCAAAAATTCGAAAACTTACAAGGAAAGCCAACAAGAAGGCAGAAGAAGCAACACAGATGGGAATTCAGGTGAACACACAGAAAATAGAGGTGATGAAGATACGTGACCAACAGACAAGTCAGACCTTCATCACTACGAAAGCAGTTTGGAAATCTTCTGCACTCAGCATAAACAACAAAATTTGGGTTTTCAGCACAAATGTTATGTCAGTCAGAAACTTGGCCTACGCATTACGAAAAGCATTTTTGAAAAGACTTTTATAAACAACTGTCTTCACTGCATACTGAAGAACAGATAACTGGACGAAAAGAATAAGCAACAAGAAGGTCTGGTAACGAACCAGTCATGAATCTAATGCATATCAGACATTATGAAGAAAATGGAGATGGATCGGACATACCCCAAGGATATTGTTGGATGGTATCTCATGCAGTAAAGGCCCACAAGTGAAAGTCGAATAGGAAATGACGAGTTGGATGTCATAGGTTGACATAGAACAGGCCGTCTGAGGAGGAGATGAGGGCCTCTGTGCAACTGTGGGGCCGGCTGAAGATGACTGGAGAGAATTGGATAAAATGGGATGTGCTGTTGAAGCCATATGCTCCATTTGAAAGCTAAGGGAATTATAACAAAGTATTGGTTTGTAGGATTTGATTGATCGGTTACAGGATTTCATCATCAGCTGACATCGCTTAGAGGACCATTGGAAAACCAGCTAGGAGTATTGGACAGCCAGCTGTTTCGTTAACCTAGTGTGGAACTCTTCATCAGTACACAACCACCACCAGAGTTCGAATTCAAGGACTTTTGGTTAAAAGGTTAGCGAGCTCGTAGACCCACTCCATTGGCCAGCCTATGAATTCCAACTTCTGCAGGTCATGATATGGCGCAACTGGCACTAGGCAATACCGTTGGTGGAGAGTATTTGTCCTTATGCCTGACCTGCTGTACTTTACTGGTCCCGAATTTCCACTGAAACTTCAGGTTACTAACTACCTGAGAAGGGAAGTCGCTAGTGAGCGTCTCATTGACATTCAAGTGTTGGTTTGTAGGGATTTGATTGATTGGTTACAGAATTTCTTCATGAGCTGAATTTCTCATAATAATGCCGCTACTGGGACTTCCAAGCTCAAGTCTTTAAGCTTCGAATTCCCCCAGAACTCATAGGAATAAAAAAAGTGAGTCATGCTTACATGCAATACATTATCTATCAAAACAAATATCGCTTATCCCAAGGATTAGTACCGTAGACTAGATTGTCGGTGGCACAGTGGTTAGGACTCTCGCCAACCCTGCAAATGGTCCGAGGTTCGATCCCCTGTCGACGCACACCTGATAGCTATGGTCGGCCTGCAAAATTTGGGCTACCGATATCACATGCTGAAAATTCCATACTTGTACCAAAAGTACGATGTGGAATCAAGCTGTAATCAAAATGAAACAAAAAACTGGTGTTTAAAGGCATCGATTGAAAAAAGCCTGAGGCAGGTGTTATGCATACTAAGCTGACGCCCACTGACGCCCAACATGTCAAGAAATATAAAAAGTTAAGCACGATTAATTTGGAAAAGGAGTTCAGCGTGATGAACTGCTGTATTTTTGTGCAAAGTTTCACGGTTATCATTCATTTCTGTTTTGACACCCATTTTTCTAAAGAAAGATTTTCAAGCATCTTACTGATATGAACTCACCTTGAATTTATTCAAATCAAAACTACGTATAACTGCAGTTGATAAACGACCAATCAAAAAGGATGGATTACACGGAAGATCTAAAACATACTGTTGATTAAATACTTGTAAAAAGTCGACTGTGTGATAATAGGCATCATTTTGATTGACACTTTGGTCATTCACCTCTCCACCATTATTGCTATATTCAAATATATCAGAAAGTTTAAATAATTCTTGAATGGAATTTGATCCTTTGATAAGACAACTTTTCAAATAGTCCAGTTGACTGCTACTCGTTTGTTTAGCACCACTGTCTGTCAGTGAAGATTGATCATTCTCATTCATATTAACATTAACAAAAGCACTTATATTCTCGTCTTCATTATCACAGCTATCCTCAGACTCAATATCATCGTCATCATCATTATCATCATGACGATGAAGTCGGTGTAATCGTCTGTCGTATCCATCTTTTGAGATAGTTTCTCTTGTTTTCATCAGTTGTAAATTGTTAATATATGGATCGTTTGTCTTGTAGATATGATATTTATTAGTATTAAAATGTGACTTTTGATAACGTGGTAGCTGTTTTGACAGTTTCGGTCTGATGATCATTGTACGATTAGTTTTAAGTAAGGCATCGTATTTCTCAGGTTTATTCATCTTTTCAGTGATGCTTTTAAAGCCTAAAGGTTATTTTACATTTTTAAGAAAATAAAACAGAAATTATCTAATAGTTTCATGTGAATAATTTGATTATTATTTTTAAATTTTATTCTTTTACTTTTCTAATGGAACATTGGGCTTTAAGCTAGAGCTTTGAAGTGTCGATAGCAGTGGTTTAATTTTATGAGGCCAGTGGGGGGGGAGGGGAGGATTTTGCTAGCCACACACACCCCCCACAACCTTCCCTTTTTACCGGCTTTATCACTGGCTTAGTAGGGTTTAGAGGTGCGTTGGTGCGTTGGGGATCAAACACTAGATCATGTGACAGGTGGTTGGAGAACATTCTGTTGATGAACTACCAATGGACTGGATAATTTAGATAATATAACAATAACATGATTGATTCAAGTTGTATCAACAGAAGATGTACTTTCAGATCTAAACACATAGTAATCTAGGTCAAAGTCCTAGAATTTGTCAAAGAGTGATATTAAAGACTGGTTGACATGTATATGTGGAGTGTGCTACTGACAGGAATTTTGGAGTGGAATATTGTGTGTGATTTGTTTTGCAAGATTGTTGAATACCATTGAGTGACAGATTATACTGTGAAGAAGAGGGATGCAAGATACTTGTGAAACAGTGCAGAAAGCATGAAAGGCAGAAAACAGAAGTAGAATACGAACAATTTGTGCAAATAGGAATTTCTATGTTTTTTTCCTTCACGTTCCCCAGTGGAACATAGGGCTCTAAGCTAGTGGCTTGAAGTTTCTGTAGCTGTGTTTATTTTACAGGATGGGTGTGCTAGCCTCATGCCCAACCTTTTCTTTTTACTAGCATCATTTCTGGCTTAACGAGGTAAAGGAGTGCGTCGGCTGGGGACCGAACCCCGTACCATGTGCATGGCTGGTAAGCGTCCTAATCGCTATGCCACCAACGCACCAATTTCTATGTAAGATTTCTGTATTTTGCAATCACGGTTTATCATCTGCCAAATAAACAATTCAGAGACCAGATACTACGATATTCTGTAGTCGTAGTTGGCGTCACTCCCCTTGGTCAAGTAAGGATTCTGTGGCCTACATTTTTGTAGAGAGACATTTAGAGATTCCTGAGGGATTTTGAGGCCGTCATTGAGTCACTGGGCCTCCGGGATCCAACGACGAAAACAGTGTTCTTTGGGTTCAGCTGGGAGATCAGGTGAAAGCTGTGGAGCTAGCCTAGAGACTTCATGGGAGACCGTCATGTGGCTGATTTCAGATTTCTACAGTTTAGTCAGACAGACAATTGGCACTGCAGTGATATGAGAACCTACAGTTTGGTGCAAATGGAGGTCCACTCGTTTTGACAGTAACGGTGAAAAATCTTCTGCGTTATGCGCCACCGAACCACAGATGAAGATTCATAAAAGCAGCTGTTAGCTTCCCATCAGATGGACTGCGTCAATATCGCTCTTTCTCACCAACTACATTTACTGAATATGACCCGACTTATGGATACTAACAAGCTGGTGAAAATCACAAATTATTCATATTCCACTTCTTTTGTCTTTATTTCATACTTCCTTCATTGTTTCACAAGGATCTATCACTCCTTCTGTTCGCAACACGGGCCATTGCCTCGCTATTCAATGTCCTTGCAGAAGATATCATAAACAAAATTCTACCTGAAAATTCCTGTCATTAGCACATGACACACATTGATTATGATGACTGATACAACTAGTCAGAAAGCGGTCATGTCGAGCCGAATTGCTCGCTACTCAGATTGAAGTGATCGAAACACCGTAGGATCGTTTCACTTGTTAGGGATGGAGCTCATCAGTGGTGTAACTGGACGACTGTAGCAACCAAGACCGACTGGTTGTGGTCTGAATATAGGAAACCGATCTTTTCGTTCTAATCCATATAGCCATTTGAAAGTTCTTTGGGACGCACACACAATCTCAAAACGCTCCAGAGACAGTAAAGAGACTGGGACCTCTGTGCATAAGAATCATACACCAAATACTTCTCACAGACAGTCCAAAGTCAAAATGAGCTTGGTTCATCAAAAAATAAAATCAATCACTTCATAAAACAATACATTATCAATATCATCCATGACACAATCATAAAGAGATGAATTAAAATAGGAGGTGAACAGTGACAGAGACAAATAATAAGTATCAAGTCAACCACCATAGTATATGCAAATTTTAGAACAATCATATACAGTCTAGGAGAAAAAAGGATAATAATTACAAATCCTAATAAGTATAAACGTTGTATGGTTACAGGATTTCATCATGAGCTGGCATTGGTCAGAGGACCATTGGAAAACCTGGAGCACTGGACAGTTGTTTCGTCAGCCTAGTTTGGACTCTTCAGAAGTACGCACCCACCAGGGTTTAAACTCAGGACCTTCTGGTTACAAGGCAAGCTCGTAGACCTTTAAGCCACTGTCAGCCAATGTCAGCTCATGATGAAATCCTGTAACCAATCAACCAAATCCTACAAACCAATACTTGAATATAAACGTTGTAATAAGATCTTCTAGGAGGGGTTTTTCAAACAATGATTTCGCTACAATATTATCACACTAACTGAAGATAGTGAAAGCAGATAGTCAAAGAAACTAACCTATAGCATAAAATATGCATTCTTAAATCTTTCTTTATGAAGGAAGGACTATCCAAGCTATCCAAAATAGTTTGGTATTTCTTTTAATTGTAAGGAACTTTTGATATACCTGAGCTAGTAACTGGTTAGTCTTGCAAGAAACCAGTCCTGGGGTTTCAGTGGGAAATCGTGACTAGTGGGGTGCAGCAGGTTGTATGTGAGGACAAATACTCACCAGTGACATTCGCTAGTGCCAGTCGCTCCATATCGTCAGTTGGTAGTAGTTGAAATCCATGGACTGGCCATTGGATTGTATCCTAGTGGTCTACAAGCTCACTAGCCTCGTAATCAGGAGGTCCCGGGTTCGAACCCAGACAATGAGTGCGTACTGATGAAGAGTTCTGAATTAAACAAAATATGAATGTTTCCACCAAGCATCTCAAAGCATTTAATCTGGACATTATTATGACTTTGAGATGACAAATCACGCCTTCCTACATATTTCAAACTAACAGTCATATGTTTCATAGTTTGGTGTCATCTTCTGATTTGACATACTATAATTTTTCAGACTATAGTGCAATTCAAGTGTTGGTTTGTAGGGATTTGATTGGTTTCAGGATCTCATCATGAGCTGACATTAGTTAGAGAACCATTGGAAAACCTGGAGTACTGGACAGCTGTTTCGTCCTAGTTTGGGACTCTTCAGCAGTACGCACCCACTGGGATTCGAACCCAGGACCTTCCGGTTACAAGGCGAGCTTGTATACCATTAAGCCACTGGGACCCGATCCAATGGTCCTTGAATTCTAACTTCTGCCAATTCACGACATAGCGCGACCGCTGGCCAATGTCTTCGGCGAGTATTTCTCCTCACATACAACCTGCTGCACCCCACTAGTCACGATTTCCCACTGAAACCCCAGGACTGGTTTCTTGCAAGACTAACCAGCAATTCCTGAAAAATACAGATTACGGAAGATAATGGTTGTGTATATATGCAATACACTTCCTAGACATTTCAGGAGATGAAGACTATACGTAATCTCTACTACTACTCATAGAAGAGTTCTAGCAACTGTGAGTAGTAGGGTGAAAAGATATGTGATGTAAACCTGTTTGTTTGTGCGTCGGTGGCACAGCGGTTAGCATGCTCGCCAACCATGCGCATAATCCGAGGTTCAATCCTCGGCCACTGGACGCACTCATTTATCTCGCAAAGCCAATAATAGTACTGGAAAAGAGGGAAGGTTGGGCATGAGGCTAGCAACCCCATCCTGTAAAAATAAACACTGCTACAGAAACTTCAAGCGTCTAGCTTGGAGCCCTATGTTCCCCTGGGAACGTGAAGGAAATAAGAAATCCTGTTTGTTTGTTTATTAGATGTATCACAAAGTGAAACAGTATTATTTACTGGATGATGTTTCGACATTTAGTTTTGAAAGTGTCAGTTTATATACACATATACCAGTAAATATGGCTATAGGGGCAGTCTGACCAAGAACTCGAACTTAGGACAAAAGTGCCACTTTAGGACGTAATGCTGTAATGCAGCTATGCTTGACTTCCACAGTATTTACATTTCAAAGGAAAATATACAAACAGACTGAGGGTGTTGCCATGGGGTCACCAATATCTCCGGTTGTGGTAGATATATTCAATGATAGGTAGGAAAAGATAGCGATTGAAACGTTCAGCTCCACCCCAAAAGTATGGTGGAGGCATGTAGATGACACATTCATTGTACTTAGAACACAAGACATAGATAGATTTTTTGAACACATTAAATCAAAGGTGGGGCCAATTCAATTCACTTATGAATTGGAAAGTTAGGAAGGAGAACTTCCCATGTTAGATTGTAGCATAAAAAGGAAAGAAGATGGGAAGTAAAACATTAGCGTTTACAGGAAGCCCACACATTCAAGCAGATATTTCGATCATCCGATCAGCCCATCCTATGTCAGTAAAAAAAGGACTGGTGAAATGTTTAAGTGATAGAGCACAAAAACTAAGTAGTACCAAGGAAAATCTAAGACAGGAAGTTATACGCATAAAAGAAGTCTTGAAACATAATAATTACCCGGATAAATTAGTCAGGCAATATGTAAGTAAATGTAAAAATAAAATAAATAATGATAGTAGCGGTAGTGATAATAATAATAATAGTAATAATAATATTATTGACGACACCAAAAATAAGGAATTTAAATCATCAGTAGTAATTCCATACAAGGAAGGAACCTCGGAAGCCTTACGCAGAATTCTTAACAAGGCAAGAATAAAGTGGCATTCAAACCCACAAACTCAATTAGAAACAAGCTTTGTCGGTTAAAGGATCCTGCCAGTAGAGCTTTTAGAACAAAACAGTTTAGTTTATCTAATACCCTGCTTGCGATGATTGTCAGGTCAAATACATAGGT